CCCCCTCCCCTCCTTGGATTCGCCTATGATCAATCCCAAGTTAACTTGTTAAAAAATGAAATGCAATTATTGAAATTTTCTAAAATATTACTTTTGCCTGATGCTTGTGGAACATTTGGCAGTTCTTGTCTGATGCCAGCGCAATACTGTTGGCCAAAAATTTCGTCAAAGCACTGATCACAAGCATGAAATGTGCCGGTTTGGTCATCGCGGATATCAGGCATGTTGCCGCATCCAGTTCACTGAGCACCGATTTCGACAGCAGCTCCATCGCAATGCCCTGAACATATATTGCTGATGAAACAGAAAGGGTAGAAAGGACTTTCATGGAGGTCCAACCAAGAAGTGATCATTTCAAATAGGAATGTCAGCGTTGTGGTAGACGAGAGTTGGTACTCTTTACCCGGTTTAGCTCCAATCTTTTAACACTGTCAATTTGATTATTTTCATTAGCATTTCAGGGGCATTCCAAAATTTTCCAGCACTTGGTAATGAAAACCTTGGTAGTACCATGAGTGCCAGCGTAAAATATGTAGGTCAAAAAACTTCTTATGAAGTCGTAAAAATTTGGACGTGTTACAATAAGGTAAGGGAAAAAGGACGATCCAGGTGAAGCGGCCGACTGGATGAAATTGTAAAAATTTTTTTTCAGCCTATGATTGGCCGAAATAAAAGTCAAAACGAAAATGCCGATTTCATCGAGTGTATCCTGGGATTCCAGTGATTTCGGTGAATAATTTGATCCTTTTATTTGAAATTTGTAAAAAAAATCCATCCTCAAAGCAGCAAACCAGAGGAATTAGGTGCGCAAATTCACAACACTAGAAAAAGCGTGTAATAATATGAAGCTCAGGTGCAAAAGCTCTAGCACAGCTGCGTCCGGTACATAGGACAGCATTCCAGTATCATTACAGACATGCACCGGCGAATCCAGGGAGAGGGGGTTTTTGTCTCTTCTCCAGAAGTTCAGGTAGCAGCTGTTTTACTATACAAAAGTCTGCCCGATACCCCGTTTTACCGCAGAAAAGTCTGCTC